TTATTACAGTATATCTAACAATATTATACAGTAGAAAACAGAATCATATGTATGAGGACCTTTTTTGGATTTTTGGCCCTGAACCATGCAAAAGTTAAGACACTGAAGTGTTACGATGTTCTATTCTCTGCTTTCCATCTGTAAATTTTCAATTTAATGTTGGTAACCTAGTCATACAAGTAAACTTGTATTTTTTTTTATTTCAGCACCTTCAACTGGGTAATTGGCACCTCAAACCCTATGGACTACTTGCCTCCTGATTTCTGTGCCAACTCTGAACTGGAGGAAACAGAAACACCACATAATTTCTTCACTGTCATGGAGTCTCTGGCCATGAAGAGCAAGAGAATAGAGTAAACATCTTGAGCATCTTGAGCAAGATAATTACAGATAATTACAAATCCTGTCCCTCAGCAGAAATCCATATTTGACCTGAATGATTCAGTCATCATCATGAGATGATCACTGGATCATCATGTCATTTTAAAGTTACATTAACATGACATCCAGCAGAGTTGTCATCTGCAATTCACAGACCTTACCTTTGGATTGTAGGTAGAAAATGTAAATAAAAAAATCTATATTTTTAGAGTGAGAACTACAGATCAGTCAACACTACATAAAGGAGACCTTCAAATAACAGATTTCAGATTTGCTTTGTCCTCTGTCTTTGTCATTATGTCAATAAAATTATTTGCACTTAAATGCTTGTGTGGAAAATGTTAATATAATAAATAAAGTAAAAAAAAAAAAAAAAAAAAAAACAAACAACATAGAAAGACAAAGTTTCAACTTTAATTTGACATAACTAAAAATAAATCGACAATGCTGTTTTTTTATACTGAGACCTAAGTCATACCTGTGCAAAATCAATCATTGATGTGTAAATAAGCCACGTATGAAACACATTTCCTAAATGGACTTCAAATGTTTTCTTTTCTGTTTGATTGTTTGCTCTTTCGGATTTTTGCTTTTTAAAGAAATTCAAATTTGGCAAGCGTGCACATATTCACTGTGTCTGCCATTGTGATCAGCTGATTTTGACAAAAATACATGGATTTTCTGTGCAACTCATGTTTTGCTAGGAATGGAAAAATCATAGTTATAGTCAATTTTATTGCTGATAAATACACAATATAAATAGCATTGTTACATTTTTAATTAAGTTTTGTTTTTTAACTTTTAAGGTAACTCAAGTGATCATCTCACAGTCAAAGTTTGTATCATTTTAAAATAATTTCGGAGATAGTTTTGACTTATCTTGAGTATCTTGTATTTAAAACACTGTCAGAGAAAAGCAGGACGAGGGCAGTTACTGTAATCAAATCAATTTAGCTCTTTAATGTAAAACCAAGGATGTGATGCATAATAAGAGTTCTCAAAATTTTGATGGCTGAGCACTAGTTTTGCTAACTTTGCACGCATTCAACACTTTTTTATCCCTCTCAGATATGCAGTCATTTCAGTTGGTATGTCAGCAACTCTACATGTTGGTTTAATTTCTAAATCCTCATGATTCTCATCATTTTTCTTTAAAAACAGCAATGGGTAACCTTATGTTTCATTAAAAGTGATATAAGACTTTATATACAAGTGATATACAAGTCGGAATTCTTTCCATTATATATATATATATATATATATATATGTGTGTGTGTGTGTGTGTGTGTGTGTGTGTGTGTGTGTATTGACAAGCTGGTAGAAAATCATGACTATGCCTGTTTCTCCTGCAACTCTGAGTTTCTGTGGTTACAATACCCTAAATATTAATATGAGAAAAACAAAAGAAAACCAGACTCTCATGCTTTGGTTGTAACAGCTGCGCTTTCACTTTCCCAAGAAGAATCCCAAGAATAAAAGTTATGTCAGATTGATAAACCTGCATCACTTGAATGTTCAGAGGGTTAGAGTTTTTTCTCTAATCTAAGTAACTGCCATTGAAAACTGATAACGATAAAGATCATAAAACGTTTATCACAGACTGCTCTATATTTATCTTCTGACTGAAAACTGTTCATAAACACACATACAGATAATCTATATGAAGCTACATATCAGAGGATCTGACCTAATAAAATTTGATACTGATCAGTGAAAGAGCCTTCCTGTATCAACAGTGAAGCTCTGTGATAATGTGCTTCTGCTGGTCCAATTGCATCAGCGTCTCTTTAAACTTCATATTGAGCGTTCCTGTAAACAGATACCAAATGAAAGAATGACATTAGGAATCAACTCCAGATCTTTTATCTGTCAAATGTTTTATTAAACATTGAGGGAACCAATCTCACATAGTCATAAAACATTTTATTAGTCAATTATCCAACTGCTTTTGAACCTCTGAAACGGTATACAAATTGTTGTAATTCCTAAACAGTTAATGCAAAACTTACACAAATACATTGAACAAATTCAGAATGTGCAACAGGTGATTTGCATTAATTAATATTACACAAAATTAAAGTATAGCTTTTGGGTTATAGCTTAACCATTTTATGTTATGATGAACAGGAATTTTATTTCAGTAATATTTCCTTTTCTGATGCATTTTCAATGCAGTTAATCATGAATTACCACAACTGATGCCATAAGATTCTAACAATGAAAATAGCTTCAAGAAAGTGAGTGTATAGTTTTTACATATACAATGCAAATCAAACAATAATCAATGTGTATATTAGCACAAAATTAGTCATTTGGGGGTAATGTAGGAAAATGTATTTTAAAATGAGGCTGTTTGCACTGTTCTCCATCAAGCATCTTCTAAAGAAGTCAGGATGCATCTATACTGATTGCAAAAGAGCAGAAATGAAATGATAGTGTATATCATGAGGGGCAAATTTGTCAGATACATGTTCATTTGCTTGTTTAAATCAGGGGGGAATCTGGGGAACAGATTTTAAAATCGATCAGAACCTTCAGAAAATGATATTATTCAGATAACTTGTTGTGCTTAATGTCTCACGTAGAAAACTGCAGTACTAGTCATTCTTCAGCAGATGGAGGCAGCATCCCTCGTCATCTCAGATGATACTGCTTTCATTTATGTCTTTTCCAAATGAATGTGCTGTAGTGTATGCGCTTGAGTAATCTGTGTCGTAAACCTCAATTACCTTGTTAATAATTATTATATAAGGCTTTAATAAATGTTCCCAGGAAACAACAGCCTAATGTTGCATGTGTTTATCGAGAGCCTTATTTCTACAGTATACTCTGCATTCATATCTGAGTATGAATTATTCATTCAAGTATTTTATGAGATGCATCTAAAAACTACAGATCAACTCAGCAGCAGATGGCCGCCCCTCCCTGAGCCTGGTTCTGCCGGAGGTTTCTTCCTGTTAAAAGGGAGTTTTTCCTTCCCACTGTCGCCAAAGTTCTGCTCATAGGGGGTCATATGATTGTTGGGCTTTTCTCTGTATCATGAAGCACCTTGAGGCGACATTTGTTGTGATTTGGCGCTATATAAATAAAATTGAATTGAATTGAATTGAACTCTAGATGTGGCCTGAAATGCTGGCAGTTTTTGAGAAATTTGTTTTTCTAAAGGTGCTGTGAAAAAGTTCATTAGAGGGTCATGTCACACATTTTTTCAGTTGTGTGGTGTAGTATCATTGTATACGACACCTGTGGTGTATTATCAGTCATACAGTTTTATATATGCTACCAGTGCTTCACATGAGAAGTTGCATTTGTTGACAAGTACATCAATAAACTCTTTAGTCCTTTTGTCAAGGTTATCTGTGACGCATAATATATGACTGGTACTCAAGATAAATAGGTAAAGTGACGCAAACACACTATCCAGCGCTGATGAGTTTGTATCTCGCACATAAAAGGAGTGCATCTTTTTAAAAGATATCTTTTCTACTTTTCTTGAGTTACAGTATAAGTCCTCCATGTCCTCTCTTAGTCATACCTGTCTACACAATGAACATCAATAATAACAGAATTTATTTTTATTGTTATAGGGCCATCACACTTATTTCACCTCAGGGAATTGTGAGTCATCGTCTAATAATCAACACTATGTTGTTCAGAGGTAGCTACCTAACCCCAGTGTGAAAAATTAGCCATCTGTCCTTTGTGATTTAAGAGTTGACAACCTGCTATGGAAGCATTAGCAGCAAAAATGCCCTGCAAGTCTGCCCAATTATCAGTCTAATGATTCTCTAAGCATGCTGCGACCTCGGCTGAGAAATGTGCAGGAGGCTCACTGTAAAGTACCTGTTGTGATAAGAAATTACATTTATTTTGTTTAATTAATTAATTAATTGGCCATATTCACTTGAGCCTAAATGTTAACGTAGGAGGTGCTGTATGCAGATTTGTTAATTTTGTGCCTGATTGACCATCAGTCACAAAGTCACTGGAAAGTAGAGGCAATTTCAAACCCTGCTGCCTTAAAACTCTCAGCAGTGGCAAATAAAAACACCCAAATGAAATGGAAAAATAAAAAAGCTAAACACATTGAAATCACAAATACATTAACGGTAAATATTTGATGTTCAACGTGTTTAACTCTACTATTCATCCTGCAGTGACAGTCACATGGGCTGGCTGTCAAAAAATATGACCAAACCAAATAAAGATGTCGACAGGAACTGACCAAGCTGTGAAAATGCACTGAGGCACTATAGGAGCACATGTAATACTTCTGACAATCATTTGCAGCTGTGTCTGCCTGTGCTTCATGCTGTTCGCTCTACCTTCTACCCTCCAGCAGTAGCCAGTCTAGCATCAGTGAACCGGTTCCCAGCCCGACTGGTAGCATAATGACATTTGGCACAGAAGGTTATGTTTACCTTTGCCACTATTGTAGCTGTGTTACCCTGCTAATAATTGCTGATCAGCACTAATTTCAAAGCACAGCTGAGGCTGATTGGAATCTTTTTCAAGCATATCAAGTAAAACTGGAAAATTTTAACATTATGATAAATGATTATATTTGTGGAAAAAAACACATACATTTTATTCAAACACGTCTAACACGAGACTTTTAGACTAATTGTCTTATTACCTTGTCTTTCAAATCAGGATGTCGTTATGTGTCGTTAAGCAGTTCCAGTGATTATAGGCTATCCCATCTGCAACTGATACTTCATCACAAATGTCCAGATACAAATTGGTGATCTGGTGCTGACTTATAGGGTAGCCAAGAGCCAACCACTGGGTTTAGCTTTTGGTTTACTTTGGAATTACAGCATCCTTATAGCATCATTTTCTTCCACTGGAGAATATTTGATCAGGCCTATATGTCATCTGTATGATGTGTACAGAGAAGCTCTTGCTGTTTGATGCCAACACCCACAGTGCACATACAAACATGTCCTTGGTATAATATTGCTTCCTGTTGGATGAGTTATCCGGGAGAACGAGCATGCTGCACTATGATGGCTGTTTTTGTTTTTAAACTCAAAATGTGCCACGTTTTCCCTCTGACTCATATGCAAACACATAGTATTTAATTATATGGCAGTAAAATTTCCATGCCTTCAGATAATCACCTCACATTACCAAACACTCCCAGATGATCAAGTCACTGCATATTAAAATTGATTGCAGAGAAGCACATTAATTTACAAGTTCTTACAGGTTAACTTTTTTTTTTACAGCATGTACCAAAAAGAAAGAAAATAGATCAGTAAATAAATGTATGAACCCTTGTTCACCCCCACACACGACAAATGGCTACAAAACCTCTTTTA